TTGTTGAAAAATCTTGAACAATTGTTGGGTAGAAAGTGTTTCTGCTGTATTAGTATGCTACATTGCAATGAGCTTCCTTTGAGGCACATTATTGTCACTCTGGATGGACCCACCAATTCAAAGGTTGGTTTTACTGGACCAATATGAATAGTATGGAAAGATTTGATACATTTGAACCTATTGTGCGGTTGAAACCATTAATCCAGATTCCTAAAAAAATTCTAAGTTCAATGTCAACAGATTTATCTGTCTGCTATAAACTGATTACATGTTTGACTTCAGGCAAGATGGGATAAGGTTTGCCATTAAAACCGTTAAAGAGGTACAGAAAAGGAAGGTCCAATGCAATCTGGGAGCTATATCCATACAAGAACTGATCCACTCGAACAATAAAGATAAATTAGAACCTGTACTTATCAAATACCTACAAAAGATCTTGAAAATTTTTAAGAGACACCTTTTGAAACACCTTACTTTGCCCTACACACATTTTTGTTAAATTTTTTTCTACACAGTTTTGTGAAAGCGCGGTAAAAGAGGTGACAGATGCATCTGCATCTATTCGTGAATTTGAAAGAAGAGATTTATTTGTTAGGGCCAGAATGGCTCATAGACTATTAATGCCTAAACTGCACTCTAAAAAAGATTTAAGAAACGTTTTTTATAAAGACACTCTGATTAATTATACTGTAAATATATGTTTCAACATGAATATGTAACTTTGCCAAACAAATAGTTATCTTAATGTCATTTGTTTTTTTCTTTTTCATATCTGTTTAGACACAAATAAGATAAAAATCAGACTAAAATTTAATTATTTTTATAATGTTAATTTTACGATCTGACATATTAAAAAAAAAACCCAGTTCCCTGGTAGAATTTTTTTTTTCTCAAATTTTTTATTATTATTTAATATTACTTTCTAAAAGAAATTTCTAAAATAAAAAGAGTCTGGGAACAAGACTGGGGCTCCCAGCCATCGTCGGCTCTAGTTTAATCTTGGTTTTTTGGAGCCAATTATTTTACCAGTTTTTTCATGCGTTATACATAAATAACATCAAAATTGGATTAAAATTCACTGAGATATGTTTTTTAAATTTGAAAATTTAACAATCTAACATACAGAAATTTTACGATTTTACCAGCTCCCTGGTAGGTACGAAAAACCAGTTACCCGGCAGGTGAAAAAAATTTTTTTTAATTTTTTTTTTTTTAATTTTTATTCATTATATATATATATATTGGCACTGTAATATTGATGCTAGAAGTTTCTTTGCTCATTTTCGTTTTAAGTAACGTACCCTTAAGTAAATCACAACCCTTTGAAGTTATTGAATCAATAGAAGATCAGCAACCTTTTGAAACAAATTAATTAAATTACTGCATCTCGATTTTTAAATTATCAAACTTATAGATTGATAATTTTAAAATATATATGCTTCTATTACTCCAAATTACTCTAATGTATCCATATATTAAATTAAATTTAACATACTGCATCTTCGTTTTCAGATAATTCATTATCAACATCACAAAAAAAAAAAAAAAAAAAAAAAAAAGGAAATGGTCTCAGTCCACTTCAACTTCAGTTAGTAAATGTTTGAAAACAGATAAGTTTTTCACACAAACAAGCGACAAAGGGAAAGATTTGTTTTATCTGCAACTTGGTAGATTCATATACAGTAAAAATTCTAGCTTTAGAACAGTTGAACATAAAGAGTTTAAAAAGATTATCAATATGGTTCATCCTGGTTACACTTACCTAATAGAACTCAAATTGGAGGAGCAATACTTGATAAGGTTCACACAGAAGAAATTGAAAAGAGTAATGTATTGAATGGGAAAATGGTAGCAATGTGCATAACCAATCATTTGGATGGAGTAATTTGCATAACCAATCATTTCTGTCACTGTAATTGCAGGATAATATTAACACTTAAGTAAAAACAATTAATACTTCAGGTCATTCCCATACTGGTGAATATCTTGCACAATTGGCAAGAGAAGCAATAGATTCTGTAACACATAAATTTGGATGCACAGTAAAAAGCTTAGTGACTGACAATGAAGCTAATATGAAATCAATGCAACGGGTATTGTTATCTAAAGAAGATATAATGATAATTTATGGGTATGTTGCTCATATGCTAAATCTTTTAGCAAATGATCTTAACATTAAAAATGTGAGCAAGCATGTTACACTGATAATAAAATATATACGAAATAATCATCAAGCTGGAACAAATTATAGAGAAAGTGGAGAAACAAAACTACCACTTCCTACTGAAACTCTGGAATTCTGTATGTCATTCACTTGAAAAATATATCAATAACTGGAGCATCATTTTTACGATGTTTTAAAAAAAAAGAGACTTATTCCACATTTGGTAGCAAAGTAAGTGACATATAGATAAAGCAAAATGCAGAATATTTATTGAAAATATTAAAACTAATTGATTTCGCTCTAGATAAGTTGCAATGAGATCAAACAAAAATAAGTGACACTGTTGAAATTTTTTAAGAATTGATAAACATGTTATCATTTTTATTAAATGAAAAAAATAAATATTGGAAACTAGATATCTTTAGACTGTCAGTGATGCTCATTTCCTTGCAAACACAATCAAATAGATCCTAGATATTTTAGATCTAATCTTTCTGAAAATGAAGCTGCAATGACCTTCGCAGATAAAGAAATTAAGAAGTTATTACCAATAATATTCAAGTTGAAAACCAAATCAAATTTGATAAAATTTATTTGAATAGTGAATCTGTTTTAAAAAATGTCACTGAATCACAGAATGGTGGTAATCTCTATAATATCTGGCCTACAACATTATCATAGATATTGAAGGTTTGTTAACTGCACCAGCTTCTTGTGCTGGAATTAAAAAAAAATTTCGACTTTTGGGCTTGTTCATTCCAACTTAAGAAACAAGATAGGAGTAGAAAAACCAGCAAAACTTGTTTTTATATACAGACAACCCTCAGAATTAGGAAAAAATGAGGTCAGCAATAATTTGCTTTAACCTTTTAGAGGTTGGCATCAGGTCAGCAAAAATAATTTGATACAAAGGTCTTACCATTAAACATAGAAACAAGGTCAGCATTTTTTTCAACCTCAAACATTTTTAGGTCAGCAGTTAGGTTGGCATTGCCAAACATTAAATAAAGAATAACATAAACAAAGAACATTAAATAATGATACATTGGTTAATGCATTAGAGCAGTAACGTTAATAGAAAATATAATTGACTTATTGAATAAAATGACTTTTTTTCATGAAGTTGACTAAACATGGCTTTGTTTTTAAAAAAGGAGTTTAAACCAAAAAAACCATTGTTTTTTTATTTTTTTTTTAAAAATGTTTTTTTGCAACCCTATATATATATATAAATATATAAATATATAAATATATAAATATATAAATATATAAATATATAAATATATAAATATATATATATATATATATATATATATATATATATATATATATATATATATATATATATATATATATATATATATATATATATATATATATATATATATATATATATATATATATATATATATAATATTTTTTTTATACTTTGTTTTTTAATAATTCTAATTGAATCATTTTTTCAAGTTAAAGTCAGGGTTAGCAATAAAACTTAACTCAATAAACTCACCTTTAACAAACATTAGATAGGTCAACACTAGATTTATTGTTATTTACCAAATAGAATTCTCTTCTCTCAAATGCCTGTATATTTAAACAAGCTTTTTAGCTCATTTCTTATTAGCTTGCTCCAAACGATGCCAAAAATGGAATAGACACTTTCTTTCCAATAACATTTATATTATCATACCAACTTTGAATAACTAATTTAATGCAATTAATTAAAATTATTTATAATTGTAGGGCATCACCTGCTTACCACATGTATATAATACAGTACATATACAGAAGAAAATCAGAGATGAAATTAGTTTTTTAAAAACCATTAGGGTTTTATCATACCCTGAATCAAATCCTTATTGTTGAGTGATGGAGATGAAGAGATGGCTTTCAATTAGAAAATAAATGTATTTAATAATCCACCAAAACATTAAAATATGACCACAATAGTTAATACAAAATGAGTCTAAAAAAATTTGATGAAACACATTTTTCTTAAAACATGAAATAAAAATAACTGAAATAGTGAAAGATTATTTTTTAGAAAATACTTATACCCTATATCCTACACTACACACCCTACAACTGTATATGAATCTTGGTACTTAAACAAGTCTGAAAAAATTATGAAAAAATCCATATATTTTAAATTATTTAAAATTTATACAAAAATCTTATATTCTGAGAGCATGAAATAAATATTTTATCTCATGCTCTCAGAATTGAAAAAATTGCTAATTTTAATTGCTAAATTTTAAGTGCCAAGAACTTCCTATTTAAAAAAAAATTATTTAAAGTCAGAGTCACATAATTTAAAGTCACATAATTTATGTAATGTATTAGTTATGTAATATACAACTATATATAATATATACAATGTATTAGTTTCAATTGATTACTAGTTTTATTATTAGTTTTTATTAGTTTCAATTCATTACTAGTTTTATTATTAGTTTCTATTAGTTTCAATTGATTACTAGTTTAATTATTAGTTTCTATTAGTTTCTATTAGTATTATTAGCTATTGATTACTTGTTGTACTTTATAAATTTATAATATATATAAAAAAAACCTTTTAAAAATGTCTATCTTGCTACAAAAAAACCTTTTAAAAATGTCTATCTAGCTACAAATAGATTATTGAGAACTTGAAGATTTTTAGGTATAAAACTAACGCCCAAATATAATTATATAATATCTATAATTGGTTTACATAAACTACTTCAGATTAAATAGTCTTATAATCATCTTTAGATGTTATAAACTTATGTATAATTTTTAACTTATAAACTTATATATAATTTTTTTTTCTATTGATTATTTTTATTTTACATACTTATGCTCATCAAAGGATGTAAACATAAACTTGTTAATCCCATTTTCATTAAAGTCTGTGTAAGCTTTAGTCACCAATTGAATCTTTCCTTTGCTTGACACATTCCAAATACAAATTATCTAAAATAATAAAATAATATGTAAATAAATATATATGAGGGTTCCCACAATTTAAAATGAGGCTAAAAGTAAGGATTTTAAAGAGATATTTTTTAAATAAATTTGAGATTTAGTCGCAAGCAATAATTTTTTGAAAGGAGAATAAAGGAGAAAACAATTACTTTATAAGCAAAATCTTTTTCAATAAATTTTAAATATAAACAGAGGAATTATTATAAATTAATATATTACTTTACATATGTATATATATATATATATATATATATATATATATATATATATATATATATATAAATGTAAATATATATATATATATATATATATATATATATATATATATATATATATATATATATATATATATACACATATGTATGTATATATTTTAATTATCTTCGCTTCCAACAAGGCTGCAAGCAACCACTAATTAGTGTTGGAAGTCACTGGAAGAGAAAAGATGAAAATTGTAGAGCAATATAACGATTGACAGACGACTTAAAAGATTGCAAATTATAAGAATCAGGAAAGCAAGATGAAGGAAACGAATTCCAATGAACTGATGTTCGAGGAGAGAACAGTAACAGAAAAAGGATGAGACTTAATTGAATGACAAGTAACACGAGAATAAATTTTAGTAGATGGCACAAGAGACGCTAGCTCTTTCGAGCAGTGTCCATTATAGTATTTGTAGAAAAGAGAAAGAGAAGCAACATTACGACGATGTGACAGAGGTTGAAGGTTGGCTGCAAGAGCAGGTCCAACTATGTTTACAATGCATTTTTGCACCTTGTCTAAAAGAGAAAGGGCACCATTAGAAGATCCGCCCCAGATATGGCAACAGAATTCCATACAAGGCCGGATTTGAGATTTATAGAGATAGAGAATAAAATCCAGAGTAAGAAAGTGACGAGCTCGATAAAGAGAAACAACTTTAGCAGATGCTAATTTTGCAACGGATTTGATATAAGGTTTCCAAGAAAGATCAAAAGTAAGAGTTAATCCTAGAAGATGAAGGGTAGGAGACTCATCAAGTACATTACCGTTCATAAATATAGGAAGGTCTAAACTATTGTGATAACGATTGGGCGAAAAAAATTGAGTTTTATCTGAATTAAAGTTCACCAGCTACTGTGAGCCCCATGCTGTAGCAGAAGTGAGATCCTTTTCAAGATCAGATGCCCCCTGCAAGCAATCAGAGGGAGTTGGCTTCTTATCGTGACAAGAATAAATGGTAGTATCATCAGCGAACAATGCCACCTTAGATGTGAGAATATCTGGAAGATCGTTAATGTAAATTAAAAAGAGTATAGGGCCAAGGATTGAACCTTGGGGAACCCCTGAGGTTACAGAATAAGAAGAAGAGTGCTGTCTATCAAGGACAACTTTTATACTACGATTGGAAAGGAAGGATTCAATAATCTTAAAGATGTTTCCAAATACACCGTAAGAAGAAAGCTTATGGAGAAGACAGGCATGCCAAACTTTATCAAACGCTTTAGAAATGTCAAGAGCAATGGTCTTAACCTCTCCACATTTATCTAATGCGCGATAAAACCTATCGGTTATTACTGATAGCAAATCAGCCGTAGAATGAGAAGATCGAAGTCCATATTGATGATCAGAAAGTAGGTTATGAGATTCGAGATGAGAGATTAAGTGTTTGTTAATTAAAGATTCAAAAACCTTGCTTAGGAAGAAGACTAATGGGACGGTAGTTATACAAATCGGATGGTTCTCCAGAATTTTTAAAAATAGGGATAACAGAAGCTGCTTTCCAGCAGGCTGGAAAACAAGACTCTGATAAGCATTTGTTAAATAGTTTTGAAAAGATAGACGACAGCTCTGGAGAACACTTCTGCAAGACTATAACAGGTATGTTGTCCGGGCCGCAAGCTGTAGAAGAGTCTAAGCGGGAAATCACTTTAGATACAGAAGCTGGAGTGATACAAATGTCGAGCAATGAATCAACCTGTTTGACAGCTATATCAGGTAGAACGCAACTAGTGGCATCAAGAGATGATATTGATGAAAAGTTCTTGGCAAACAATTCAGCTTTGTCTTTAGGTGAGGTGACAAAGTCTGAACCATACAAAAAAGGGTGGAATTACAGACTTGCCCTTATTATTGATACTATTAAAGATTCTCCAGAAGTCACGAGAGCCTAATTTTTGTGATGAAATACAAGATTTCATGATCTGAGAATAGCAGGCTTTGGCATTAGACAAAACCTTTTTACAATGGTTCCTAGCAGTAATAAACAGACGTCTGTTTTCTAGAGAATTGTTTTGCTGATAGATATGGAAGTAATGGTTTCGATTGGCAATTGCAGCAGCACAATGTGAGGAAAACCATGGAGAGGAGTGAGGCTTGACCTGGAATCGTCGAGAGGGAATAAAGGATTCCATGCCGGCCTGAATCCACAAAGTTATGTAAGAAGCACATTTGTCAACAGGGAGACGAAAGATTTTACCCAGGGGCCATCAAGAAGAAAATCACAGAAAGAGTCCCAGTCAGCTTTAAGGTAGTTACAAGATGTACGATGACAGGGGGATTCTGATGATAAAGAAGAATGAGATAATAGTTTTAGAGAGACCAAACCATGATCGGAGGCACTTAAGGGTGAGTGTGGAAAAACTGAGCACTGACTAGGATCAGAAACAAGACATAAGTTGAGTAGAGAAGGTAAATGATTCGGGTTGTCTGGAAAGCGAGTTGGAAAGTTGACTATTTAAGTTAGGGATTGAGAAAGACAAAAGTTGTGGGCCTTAATGCTGCAGAGTCACTGACACTAGAGCCAAGCCATTCAGTGTGATGAACATTAAAGTCACGGACAACAACAATATTGACTGATGGATAAAGAATGAGGGCTTGGTCAATATAATCAGAAATAATATCAAGAAGAGAGCAGTCTTGAGATGAGGGAGAGCGATATAGAACAAAGAGAAAGGTGATAGAGTGAAGTGGTGCTAAACGAAAGCACATAAAAGAGTAGTATTCAAGTATTAGTAGGATTCAAACCTAGTTTCCCGACAAATGGGTGAATTCTTACAAATGTAAATGCCCAGGCCAAGCATGTGACTATTGGAGTCTTTACGAATTAAAGGAAGATAACCATCAACACTAAGATCACAAGATGAGACAGCTGAACTCAAACTAGTCTCACAAAGAGCAAGTAGGTCTGGTGAACTTTGGAAGAGTTAAGACTCAACAGAAGAAAAGTTACTTCGAAGACCACGAATATTGGTAAATGATAGGTTTAGCAACTAGAATAGAATTGCAACTAAATAATAATGATTTGAAACTTTAAAGCTTGTTATCTCAGTTTCATGTAGGTGATTGTTGGACCCTTTTTGTTCTTGGGTCGCGAACTGTAGAACTTCATTTTTTCTTACAGCATATAATATGCTGTCAATCATTATAATTACATCATTACAGCATTTAATTTAATAATAAATTTTTTAAACAGGAAATCTTTTTTCTGTTTATAAATTTTCCTAATATTTCAAAAGTTCTCATATATAACCCAACATACGCAAATCCTAAACATATACAAGTTTTTATTAAATCCATTTATTCAGCTATAAAATTAAAAATTATTAATGTAATTATGATTTACAAAATTAAGTCAGGTGCCACTTATATAGTTTGGAAACAAGTCAATGGAGTGATGACTTATAATATGATGATGCGTAATGAACAAATAAAAACATAAATCAAAATAAAAAACAAACATCTAAATTCTTATATATTACAATCATTTTTATATTTAATATTAAACTAGCTGAACAGACCCATAAAAATGCAGGTCTTTGTAATTCTATTCATTACCGACCTTTTCTATACTTTTTACTTATATATACAGGCCTTGTGATGAAGTGGGAGCGATCGCTCCGCGCACGTGAATCATGTTTGGCTAGTTTCATTACAAGAATAAACAATTACGTCTGAAGAACTTGCGAGGGAGAAAATTATAAGTTGATTTTATAAAAAACATTTTTAGTAAATTTTTTTTGCTGAAGTTAAAATATGTTTAAACAGTAGAGTTTGCATATTGTTAAATAAAGAAGTTACATTTGTAATAAAGTTATACATGATGCCATAAGTTATACATGTCAAATGTCATAAGTTATACATGTCATAAAGTATACATGTCATAAGTTATACATGTCATAATTTATACATGACAAATGTCATAAGTTATACATGTAAAATGTCATAAGTTATATACGTATTTCAAATTTAATTTATGCAGTATAAGTTTAAATTAAAAATGATTTATTGTTTCTATTTGAAAGCTAAATCCAGCATGTTTTTTTTTAAATTCCACTTGAACTATATCATATTATCTGCTTAATCGTACCCCTTACTAACTCATATAATTTTATAGGGTCCATTTGACAAAAAACTTTGCCTAACTAGGAATTTTACTTTGAATTGCATAAAAGTTAATGTAAAGGTTTGTGTAATAAAATATTGAAACTTGCAACATATCAATCAAAACTTTAAACTTAAATTATAAAAAATTAAATATCTCACATAATATTTATAATTTATATAGTGCAATATTTATAAATATCTTATAAATATAAAAGTTAATGTAAAAGTCTGTGTAATAAAATATTGAAACTTGCAACATATCAATGAAAACTTTAAACTTAAATTATAAAATTAAATATCTCACATAATATTTATAATTTATATAGTGCAATATTTATAAATATCTTATAAATATAAAAGTTAATGTAAAAGTCTGTGTAATAAAATATTGAAACTTGCAACATATCAATGAAAACTTTAAACTTAAATTATAAAATTAAATATCTCACATAATATTTATAATTTATATAGTGCAATATTTATAAATATCTTATAAATAATATCTATATTAATAATATCTATATTATATTTAATATTTATATATAATAATATCTATATTATATTTATAAATATCTTATAAATAATATCTATATTATATTATATATAATAATATCTAGCGTAAAAAGTTTTTCTAACTAAAACTTCACTTAAAGCTTCAATTTTGTAGGTTCGATCACATTCTATTAATTAATGACTTTTATATTTAAAATTCAAAAAAACATCAAAATGTTGAAATATTAAATATTTCTTGTCAAATATAAGTTAATAAACTAAATATTTTCACTGGTATCTTCAAATCAGTTAAGCTCATTTTAAAGTCTATTTATTAAAAAAGTTTAATCGCAACTTAAAATAAAAAACGCAACTTGAAATTAAAAAAAAAAGTTTCAAAAAACAATACGTATAGCAAATATATTTGTTATATAACTTAGAATTGAAACTTTTGGAAGCGTGCTTGCAAGCAACTAAAGAAAAAATGTTATGTCAACGCATTTCTTAAAATATACGTTTGTATATAAGTTATTTATATATTATATTTGTATAAGTATATATATATACTTACACATATATTTTATATTAGTATGTCTTTTATATGTTTATTAAATTTATAACCATGTATATAAAATATTATTCACTTGATAATAGTTAAATGGCCCATTTAGTTTAAATTAGAAAGCAGTTTTCTATTTGTACAAACAATGAATGAAAAGTTATCAAGTCATTACTGCTAACAGATAGAATGGAATGTTTACTATTAGATAGAATATAGACTATTAGAACAGATAGAATGGAATGTTTGCTATTTTCAAAACGCTTCGTCCCAATAAAAATAGGAAATTAAAATTAGAAAATTAAGACTTGATTAAACTTTAAAAAATGATTTTAATCAACAGAAAAACAGATTTACAACAACATAAACAGATTTTGTAAAATCTTTCTTTTGCTTTATTGTTTTTAATACTTCACACATCTTTTGTAAATAAATGAAACATTCTTAATCTTTTTATTTTTTATTTTTAACTATTTTAAAAACTTAATTTAAAGTTCTCTTTAATTTAAATTAAAAACGTTTCTGTTGTGTTAGAATGTCTGCAATTAAGCATGTTAATTTAACTCTAAAAAACCAAAGCTTTTTTTGTCTGATTTCCCAGACTTCACATAAAAAAAGTCAAACAAAAAATTGTCCACCTTTAACGCACTAGTATGCATTTTTCTTTTACGCACTAGTACACTTTTGAGTGACCCCTACTCATACTTGTGTACTTAATTTATGGATGGCCCCATGGCAACCAATTGGCAAAAACATGATAATGTATTTCAGTATTACAAGCGCAAAAAATTGCGCCGGGCGATTTTATTCATCACACGCAGTGATATACTGACTAGTTTTCAGAACATGTAAAATACGGGCTTTCACTAAACTGACCACTTCTATACTTATTTATTGCACACAGGTCATCTCTATACTTATTCATTATTTACTCTGATAACTTTTAGTCAAAGGTAAAAGAACAATTAAAAAAAATTTCAATTTAAAAAAATTTTAATTTCAAAATATCAATTTCAATTTTAAAAAATTTCAAAAGAACAATTTAAAAAAATTTCTTTCTTTGCAAAAAAATTTAACATACACACCCTTTCCGCATTGTAGAGCTTATAAGACATATATAAAATGGCTTGTTTTTCTCTTACATGCATAACTTTGATAGCTAAGTGGTTAAATGCCCTGTCATCAGTGTCATTTTGGGAGGGTTTAAATTCGCCCTTTTACTAGCCATATATATTTATAGCTTAAAATAAAAGACAAAAAAGACACAATTGTTAAAATAAAATTTTATAGATATTGCTACCTACCGGCTATTTTTTTTTTTTTTTTTGCCTCAACAGCAGCACTGGAGTAAAAGGATGGGCTAATTAATTTTTTTTTAATTAAAAAAATAATTTTTTATTAAATTAAAATCTAAGACCATATTTTTTTTCAGACCATCCGCAGTTTTATTTTGAATAATTATCTGATCACATATATTGCGCATATGTCATGATCATAAATATCTTTATCATGACATACATGCAACAAACTTCACTTGGTGTTTTGATATGTTAGAAATTTTAGACTTTTATAAAAACTCTCTCCCTTTTGTTTGTTATAGCATATATCTTTATATATGTTATGTATATTATACATATAGAGTTTCTAAAATAATTTATTTTATATTTGAAAAAATTGAAAAAGAAAAAAAAAATTTATAAAACGGCAAATAAATGCTATAAATCAAAATTAAGGAGTTGCTATGTTAACAACGATTAGCCTGAGATAAACTATTATAGTATATAATATCTTTATATATGATATATATATATAACATTAATAGAACTTTTAAAATGTTTTATTTTGTATTTTAGAAAATTAGAAAAGATTTCAAAAAAAAAGTACAAAGATTTGAACCACGAAAAATAAATGCTATAAATCAAAATTAAGGAGATGTTGTTGCTATGTTGATGTTGCTATGCAGTTTTAAAGTAAAAGTAAAACTGTAAAACTTGATATTTTTAACATTACATTATTTGAAGTTTATATAAGTTAGATATTTTATAAGTTAGTTTATTTTATTTAGTTATCAAGTTAGATATTTTATAAGTTAGTTTATTTGCAAACACTTAAGTTAGATATTTGCATAGACTATCAGTCACATTTTGTTATAAGAGAAAGTGTGCTGCTCTATCTCTTTAATAACTTGGGTGTACTGGCTGTTATGAGTTTCAAGTCAAACATGCACAAATGAGTAACAGCAACATTAAATTCAATATTATTATATTATAAGAAAAAAAAAAACTAATTATAAAATAAAATAAATGGAACATAGAAATAGTAAAAATAGTAAACAAAGATAAATAAACTTGAAAATCAAAAATCTGAACAATAATATTTAAAAAAAATAATAATAAAGAGGGAATGGATATATGAGATAACACAATGTTTTGCGATATGCTCAAAAGGACGAGAGTGAGAGAAAACAATATTGTAAACAAACATAAATGGAAACATGTATAAACAGATAAAAATTTGTACATAAAATATTTTATTAAAGTAAAACTATGAAAAATAATTTGAAAAAAGAAAAAAAAAACATTTTATATAAAAACCAATACTCTAGATTTTATTATGGTAAAACAAATTTTTTGCAGCAAAATGTACCACTGAAAGTTATAAAGAAATCAATAACCTGCTTTGAATGCGTATCCATTCCAACAGACGCAATTAATTCAGAGCTTAAAGAAAAACTAAAACAAAAAATGATAATAAAGTTTATAATCTTTTTTGAAAAAGTATATTAATTTACCTCTTTAAAAGACTTCAATAAAGAAAAAAAAAAAAGAACCTTAGAATAGAAACATCTTTAATACTTGTTTGAAACAGAGCTACACATTGCTTTGTTTTAATCTTCCATATTCGAACAGAAGAATTACACCCAGTTTCTGCAGAAGCAAGAAATTTGGATTCAGGAGAAATAGTTAATGCAGAAATATTATTTATATGACCAAGTAGAAAAGATTGCTTTCCTGATAAAATATTATGAATAACAATAATACTATGACATGGATATATCACATCATGTCCAGCATCTGTCCAAAAAACCTTTAAAAACAATGCACTAATTTATTTTCAGTATTATGCTGTAAAAACCTTTGATTATATTAAATAATCTAATGTAATAAAGAATAAATATAATATGGATTGAAATATGAAGTAAATAAAGATAAGATTATAAATGAAAGAATTATGAATATGATTTTAAAAATATATATGAAATCATATGATAAAATAAGATACCAAAATAAAAAATAAATAATTTTATAAAGATGACCTATTATATATAAATAGAAGATAGAAACCAAAACAAGAAGATAAAAACATTTAAACAAATAATAACTGTGTAATTATTGAGAAAAACTAATAGTCAAATAATGTAAATATTATTTGACTATTAGTTTCAAAGACAAAGAATAATAGTTTAGAATAGATAACTATAGTAATAATTATTATATATAACAATAGATAACATATAATATTAATAATTATTATATAATTATTATAATTATTATAACAATAGATAACATATAATATTAATAATTATATATATACATATGTATATATATATACATATATATATATATATATATATATATATATATATATATATATATATATATATATATATATATATATATATATATATATATATATATATATATATATATATATATATATATATATATACAATTATTATTATTATGTGTAAACAAAAGCATTTCTCTGCGTTTGAGGTAGCAGCCTTAATCGCTTTTTCTCACAAATATTTCCATATTCAGAAAAAAATCTCTCTGAAAATGCAGAAGATGCTGGTGATGCTAATAATTTAAGGGCTAACAGTATATGATAACCAACCAATTAGTATTAATAATAATATTTGATTATCTAAAGCGATCATCATAGCTATTTCTTTAATGAATTTGCTTTGATTTTTCATCATCATCATTTTGTTGAATAATTTAATTAAAATTAACTTTAAATGTCAAATGAAATGTTAATGTCTAACTTCCATGAAAAAAGTAAATGTCTAACTTCCATAGACATTTGGTTTTTAACTTTTTAACACTTTTTTTTTTAAATTAACATGCTACCTTTTGAATCTTGTAGAGTTTTTTTTTGTGGAGATCTTGAGAAGTCCAAGGTTAAAAGGTTTTTTCTTTCCTTTTTATACAACTTTTACATTCCTAGTGATAAAGAGTCAAATAAGTTGAAGTTATAGAAAGTGAACATAAAAACGATAATGATGATGATGATGAATATACTTGCCCAAAACAAGAGTAAAGTTGCCGTGAACTTATCAACATGAACAACAGTATCAATAAGATGCTAAAATTCCAACACCAAGTCAAGCCAGAGTTTATAAGTCAGTATTCAAGGAAGCTTCTAAACTGAAGAAAGTGATGATAAAAAACTTTAATTTTTTATCTTCACTTCCAACAAGGCTGCAAGCAACCACGATCCACATATAACCACTATCCACATATAACCACTATCCACATATAACCACAAGTTGGAAGTTACAATGTTTACAATACATTTTTGCACCTTGTCTAAAATAAAAAGGGCATCATTTGAAGATCTGCTCCAGTAATGGCAACAGGATTCCATAAAAGGATGGATTTAAGGTTTATAGAATAGAATCCTGAGTAAGAAAGTAGGGAGCACGATAAAGAAATGCACCCTTGGCAGATGGTAATTTTGCAATGAATTTGATCAGAGGTAGAAAAAGTAAAAAAAAATTGTACTCAAGTAAAAGTACTGTTACTTGAGTAAAATTTTACTCAAGTACAAGTAAAAGTTACTGGTCGAAAAGTTTACTT